TCGTTGGAGGATGTGACTTCAGATACTTTAAAAAATGCTTGGCATAATTTATAGCGTTACCATATTTCAGGTTTTTTTCTGAATAGGAATGTTTTTGGATTTTGCGAACCAAAGGTGAAATTTTCCAGTTAATGGATTTTGTAAAAAAATATGGAGAAACAATAATAAATGAAGATGATATAACAGACGTTTTTAATTATGATGACAATGCTCCAATCATCAATCAATTAACGGAGGGCAGAATCTGTAGTATGGTTGTAGATCCCAAAAGTGCCGCTACCGATGATAAAAAAAGTGACGGAGAGGTTAAACGAAAAAATTTCAATTGACAACTTAGTCTGAATTCTCAAACCAGCAACTACAGGACTTGAACAGTTGATTTTAAAGGATTCGAAAATAACTATGGATTTAATATGAAAAAACTAATTGCAAATATTTCCAAAAAATTTAGAAGCAGTTATTCTTACAGTAATGATAAAGCTTGTTTTTAAAACATAAAACTTAAACAGAGTTGTAGCTGGTATTACTCAAACAACCTCCCACCTTGCAATTTGTAGGATACCTATAAATTGCAACAAAAGTTATAAATCAAGTCTATTGGGAATTTTAACACATCGACCAGCTCTAGTAACAAAATCTGGGACTTTGGGGGATGAATCATCATCTTTTCTGGAATCTGAATCATTAGCTGCAGGGTGTAGAGGCGCTTTCATCCCTTCGAGCATCTTGGGAAATGAATGGTTACTTTTCCGAACTGTTGATTTCTAACAGCTAAAGTCTTTGGAATGATCTCAACTTCTCTCCATCAGCTGTTCTCACTCTGGTAACTCTTGAGTGCCCATCTGCTCCAGAAAAAGACTTCAATGACGATTCCTAAATGCCAGTTGATACACTTGCCACCAGTTTCTAAAAGAACGACCTCCCCAACTTTTAAAGATTCTTCCCGGCTCTTAACTTTATGAACCAATATTGCTAAATATTCATTCCGAAATCTCATTCTTAAATCCTGTTTTAAATTTTGCACAAAACACAATCTTATATTTAGGCTTTTACTGTCGATTTCGTCTAAATCAGTTGTTTCACTGCTAGGAATACTTTGTAAGAAACAAGTGGGAGTTAATGTCTTCAGACCTTCAGAATTGTCTTTAATATATGTAAGTGGCCTAGAGTTTATTGTAGCTTTGCAGTTACATAGAATAGTTTCCAACTCTTCATAGTCTTTTCCTGCCCAAAATTCTTCTTAGCATCTTTTAACATTCTAACCATGCGCTCCCACCATCCTCCCCACCAGGCTGCTGTTGAAGGGTTAAAATTGCATTTGATATTCTTGATAGTGGAAAACGACATGATCTTCTCCCAATCTAAATTTCTTAGAGCATTGCTTGAACCAATCAAGTTTGTACCGTTGTCAGTGTAAATTATATTTATTCTACCTCTTTGAGCAAATAATCTTCTTAAAGCCATATTAAAAATTTCTGTAATACAGTTGTCCACATAAAAAGATTCTTTGAGTCGACAAATTGTTTGCTTCCTTTCCTCCGGAGCGTTCTCTAGATGGTAAGCTATAGTTGCTTCTAGTAAAAATGGATTAGGAGAAGCACCAAATATCACTCTACAATGTCAGAGAGTGATTTTTTTCTTCTCATTGTGATAAATCCTTCCACCACAGAAATTTAAAATACTCCGTATCTACTGGATTCAAACTGATTTGCAAAAATGCTTTTTTGATGTCTGATGTTACGCCAATTGCATTTTTCCAAAACTGCATTATCAATTTGGGTATCAATTCTAATAAATTTGGCCCTTTTTCTAAACAATTATTCAAGAAATTTCCTATGGAATCTTTCGTCGATGCATCAAAAACCATACATATTTTTGTTGTTGTTGCACCAATTTTTATCACAGGATGATGTGGTAAATAGTGTCCCTTTTTCTCGTCTTTATCTACAATTTCAATGATTCCATCCCGAACCCACTCATTAAACACATCATCGTATTCTCTTAAATGTCCACATCGTATGAGATTTTTGGTAGTTGACATTAACCGTTTAGTGGCTAATTCTTTATTCATTTCTAATTCTGGACGTCCACTTTTCCATGGCAAACGTACTTTATATCTTTTGTCTTCATTTCTTTTAATAGTTTTACAATCTACCGTTTCTTCCTCGGTTACCTGCCTTGACTTTACTTCTGCAGGATATCTTATAATGATGACATCTAGGCTCCATAATTCCGTCTAATCTAAATTATTAGCATTTACAATATTCTCCAAAGATTTTGAGTAGTCTTTTTGTTTACCTTGAAGCATCCATCGAAGTTTTGTTTTAATAGCTACCAAATTATTATCAATGGGCTCAATTCTCCCACTGAATAATGCACCAAGATAATCTGCTTCTATTAATAAACCTATTTCAGGCACATATTCTCCTGTATCACTTAAGCACATATTTTTCTTTTTCAAAATTGGATAAATATCAGGATCCTCTACACATGGAATTGCACCACATATCTTCTTTTCGTCCAAAACTGAAATAGTGTACTTGAAATTTGAACACAAGCTTTGTAATGTAATATTGCAGACATTATGGGACTCTTGTTTAGTTTCACTGCCCCCAAAAAGTCCATGACTCGTCATTTCTTGATGTACAAGTTTCAATCCTAGTTTCTCCGCAATATCTTTTCGTATGAAAGATCTCTGAGCACCAGTATCAAATAATCCACGAACGATTCCGGACTTGTCATGATTGATGATTTTCACCAATACAGTTAACAATAATGTTGGAGATTTTTTTTGTGACAAAAGAACCTGTGCATCCGATTCAGATTGTTTGTCTTGTTTTGATTGATTTATATTTGGACATATAATGCTATAGTGTTTCTTCTTGCATATAATACACTTTAAATAAGCTTTGCAGATCTTAGAATTGTGTCCTGGTTTCAAACAGACGAAACAAGCCCCTTTTCTTCAATGTTTCCCTTTTCACCTCCAGTGACATCTCGGCAGCCTTAAAACATTTTGAAATATTATGAAACGACTTATTACAATATAAACAATGTTTGTCATTTTTCTCAGCTCTTTGCTTTTCATTAGATACAATACAATCTGCAGTAGGAATTTTTTTCTTTCATTTTAAAATTTTCAAGTTGATCATTCGCAAACCCTGATCGAGCAAGTTGTAACCGCTCTTCACTTTCGACTTCCAAATGAAGAAATTCTAATAAGTTTCCTAACATGTTCATCTTGTCTTTATTTTCTTCACGGTTATGTGTGCGTTCCTACTCCTTGATAAGAACTTCTGGTAGAGTTGATTCTACTAAAGGATATAATTTTGCTTTATATTTTTCAGACGTTATCCCTAAAGACTCTAATGCTCACAGTTGAGTCTCCAATTTATCATAAAGAATCCGCATAGTAAAAATTTCGCCACTTTTCACTTGCGTTAAAACTAGATTTAAAAGTTCACGAACATAAATTTGAATTAATAGTTCATCTTTAGCAAAATGAGATTTCAGCTGTTCAGTAGCATTATAATATTTTTTGCCAAATGGTGGAAAAACTTGCAACTAAATCTCTATCCGATGAACCTTCTTCAGTTGCTTGTAAAAGATACTGAAATTTATCATCTGCATCAATGCTATCATCATCATCATGAATCTTTTTAAATTGTCCCCAGAATCCTAGCCAGTTTTTAATATTACCATCAAAACATTTCAGTTCTAACTTAGGAAGACTGAAATTTCGCTTGGTTTCATTTACTACACTGGAAATATCGCCCTTTCTTTCAGTGGTTGATAACATTAAATCAACTTTCGTTTTCATAGCAACCCACTGATTTCAATAGCTTTCCGTTATATCCATATCATTAGAAAATTCATCTTCATTAAAATTTTCCATTTCTAGCCATTTTACTTTAACTTTTTCATCTAACTGAAATAATCTGCCAGCTTAATCGTTAAGTATATTAAACACAGATATCAAATCAATCTTACTTACTGCTTCATCTTTTAAAACAGTGTCGACTTCTTTCAAAGAAATTGTGAAATATCCCCATAATTGTGTTCTTTCCTGTTTTAAATTACCCATAGTCCTGTTCCACGGATGCCAGTATTTTAAAGATTCGAAAATAACTATGGGTTTAATATGAAAAAACACTTTAATTGCAGATATTTCCAAAAAATTTAGAAGCATTTATTCTTACAATAACGATAGAGCTTGTTTTTAAAACATAAAACTTAAACAGAGTTGAGTTGTAGCTGGTATTACTCACAGTTCAACTTTGTAACTGAACAAGAAATTATGCCTGTGTATAGAATTAAAGAGAAGGTATTAGCACCAAAATATGAAGCAACTTAAACAATTTACATTGAAAGTAATATTTAATCAATTAAACAAATAAATATTAAGCTTTTTTTTTTTTTTTTTTTTGTAAATTTTGACGCTGTTTTGATCATAAATGCTTTATTTTTTTGTAAATCACAATTTCATATTTTTAATTTTATAATTTCTACATGCCATTTTATTAAATTTAAATTGATCCATATCTAGAAAAATCTCAAATCCGGAATCCCGAAGTACTGAGGCGTCTGGATCTTGGACTTTGTACAGTATATGGAATTTCGCTGATTTTTAATGTTTTCAAAATATGGAGTTTGGAATATTTTACACTTTCCTTTTTAGCACTGTTAGCATCCTAAAAGAAACCATTCAGTACAATGGGCTGAATGATGGTCAAACCATTTTAGCTTTGCATTCAAATATTGAAATGTTTTTATTTTTGTATTCAGTTAGTGAAATGTTTTTAAATTATAGTGGGAAAAAGCATGTGTCTTTTTGCAATATTCCATAGTATTTTAAATGGGTGGATATAGTATCTAAAAGCAAATAATAAAAAAAAATTAACAGTAAATCTTAAAAAACATTTGGGGGGGGTCAGTTCAAACCTTTTTCTAATAATTTCTTATAAATCTGAGCTCTGGTGTTAATTTTATATTCTTCATAGGTTTCATTACTGTTGGGGTTGTTCTTTTGTCTCGAAAACTGCACATTAACCCTGATAATGTTGCTACACCAATTGCTGCTTCTTTGGGTGATGTAACTACACTCGGCCTTCTTGCTTCAATTAGTAGTGTTCTTTACGGCATTGTGTGTATGTACATTTTTTTATTTGTTTTATATTTTGCATGAAAGTTATCAAATATTTTCTATTTTTAGGAAATAAAGATACTCTACTTTCTAGAATTCAATATTTTGTAAGATTATCAACTTGTATTTTCTGAAGTTAATTAACCCCTTCACGCCAGGTAACGCAAACGCACGCTTATCGTGGAGGCCGGCAGTGTCTTACGTGAGCATCTGTCCAGGGCCGGGGACTTTTTTGCTATTAAGCCTAAATCCATGAAATTTCCGAAGTATTAACGCATTGTTTAATAATGCTTTATAGAGTATTTAAACTTATGCTTTATACATATTTTTATATATATACTTTAATTACCTTATTTCTTGTTTAAATGTATATTTTACACATTTTATTTTCATTACTCTCCATTTTATGACTTTAACAGTATACATCTGAAAACTAAATATATTACTTAAAATTCTCTTTTCGTATGAAAAATTTGAAAACAGCGATCTACACACAGTCCTACATTACATTCCTTGCACTCGTAATAACTCATTTACCGTTTTGGTGGATTTTTCCAGGAATGTGAACAAACGAAGCATCATAGTCTCATTTTCTTATCAGTCTCTTCTGAACAAAGTTTTGGAAAATGTGATAGTGATACTATGTTACATAGTATGACTATCACTATTATCAGAATCTGTTTCAGAATCAATATCTGAAATATTTTGCATCATATCTGCTATTTCATGCTCTGTTAAACATTTTCAACGCTTCGACATTGCAACGGTCAAAACAGAAAGAATTCACGTCTAACAAAATCTAATTATTTTCTAAATACTGAACTGCAAACCGAAATACCCAACGCTTTAGCAAAAATAAAACTTCTCTACTTACAATAAACAACTACCACGTGCGAATTTAAAGCGACGTCATAAAGCACGCCATTCGGAAAGATTTATTTCCCCTTTTGTTTATATAATCAAAAACACGTGTATTTGAGTCATGCTTCTCTCATTTCGAGTAGGTTTAATATACATGTATCTAAAACCATATGGACATACAGTGCCATCTTGTGGCAGAAATTATAGTTTTTAAAACGTTCCAGGACACTAACACAAATACGTGACAGTCGGGGTTGAACGGGAAAATGCTCTGGCACGCCTGCGTGTCGGCCGGGAAGTGAGTGTGTTCGTTGCTGGCACGTAGACGTGACAGTCGGCGCGAAGGGGTTAATAGTAATATAATGTATTCATAGGGTATGTAATATAATATTCAGAGGATGTATCTTTGAATTGTTTTAGTAACTGATTTGGATTCTTTGGATATTCAATGTATTGACAAAATATGATTTTACTTCTAATTAAGTATAGCAAAAATTGTTTTGGGTGGAAAATACACTTTTTGAAGTTTTAGAAATAAAATTTCTGGTTTTATCTCTTTGGAAATTAATCTCTTGATTTTTAATGCATGAATATTTAATAAGTTGGTTTTGAGAGGTTTCTTAAATATTTGAGTCATAATGAAGAGATTACAGATAAAGGAAATAATGATTGAGCACTGGAAACAATTCATAATGCTTACTTATTTGCAATCATACTTTGTTTCTGTAAAAGTGCTTATGTGCTATTTGATTTTGCAACTATTAGTTATAGTAATGTACTTTTAGTTTAAAACTCAAAAAATAGTTAATGAACTAATCATATAGTTTATGGGAATGAGAAATTATAAAGATAATAGCTTATACTTTTGGCGAAGCAGTTCGACAATTAGAATTCATAACTTAGGTGTTGATGGATGAATTATTTGAAAGCTAAAGTTTAAAAAAATCGACGTCAAATAGTTGAAAAAATCGAGCAGTTTTGAAAATTTGCCAAAAAATTACAAATTATGGTAAGAATTTCATAGAATTTAAAAGGTTTTTGTTTTCCTGTTTTATCTGAGTGAAATTCTGATGTTTTTAATTTGTCTGTTAAATGAAATTTTTTCCATGAATTGTTTAACATTAATTTTAAAAAACCTGAATTGAATTTTGAGGGAAACAATGGCTTTGTTGCATTGTATTATTTTCTGCAAAGAGTGCATGAAAATTTGAATGCAGGAAATAGTTTAAAAGTAGATTATAAATTTTTTACCATAGTGACAGACACCATGAGGGAACTAAGTGAAAGTTTATAAAAATATTGAATGTGATGCAAATATTCATGGTTTGGCATCTAAACATTAATTTTAATAGAAAAATTACAAATTTATTGCTTTAAACTTGAATCAAAATGTGCTATTTTAAAATTTAATGACCTTCAAAAATTAAATTCCTTTGGCATTTTGATCAGGAATTAGATTTATCTTGAATTTCTTGGAAAATGTAAGAGGGCAAATCTAAATCTGCATTAAATTTGAATAATTTAATGCAGATTTACAAATTTAAACTGGCAATTGTTAGCTCATTTAAAAATCTGTAATGAGCTTGTTAATGGTTGTAAAATAGTAGACAGATTTGAATTTCATTGCACTGTTGGCAATGATGCATGGCCTCATAATAATGAAACTGGTAATGAATATATTATATGAAAGTGACAACAGTTTTGATGGTAATAAATTTGATCAGAATAATTAAAAATTTTATGTCGATTGAAGAGGTGAAGAGTCTAGTGAACTCAAAAATAAAATTTGATCTATTGTCTGTTTATGTAATGATAGGCCAGTCCAGTCAGTAGTGATTAGATAGATCGTATCATCAAGATGATTATTGAGCATTAGTTGTGCATCGCATTAAAGTCAAAGAAATCAGAGTAAGGAATTTGAGAAGAAAAATAAAATTATTCAACATTTTTTAGGAAGACTGGAATAAATATGCCATATGTATATAACTTAAATGATAAACCTAAGTACTTGGCTGTTTTGGAAGAAGTGTTGAAAGACCTTTGGAAAATAATTATGATAGAATGAGTTGATATGCACAACTAGTAACAGGAAAATATTACATGCTGCATAATGCTTAGTAAAGTGTTATTATTCATAGTATTGCTTTTAATGTATTGTTGTGAATTCTGTATTTATGTAAATAATTTTAGTGAAATTGACGTACTTTTTGAGTAATGTAACATGAAATGCTTGAAAGAGATGAAGTTTTGGTGAAAAAAATAAGACTACAGGGGCAAGTCTATTTAACATTGAGGTTAATGGCTATCTCGTCAGATTGGCAAGATATCGCCAATAAGGCAGTGGTTTCGGCAATTAATTTTTGCCACCAAATTTGCCAAACTTGACAACTATTTGGCAAGATTTTGGTCTTGTCCCTGTATAACTTTAATTGGTACTGTAATTGAATATAATAGATCTCTGTATGTATTTATAGGAAACAAACCCCCCTTTTTTTTTCTTTTTGAGAACTTCATTTTCATCAGCAAAAAATTCAGTAGAAGGCTATTTTTCATATGATAAATGTAGCCACTGGAGTCCCTTCCACCACCTTGACTTCAATAATAACCTCTGTTGGAACAACCTCTGTTGGGTAGGCCAGCAGGATTCAAATTTGCTGGCACATGCCTCCATCTTTTTAAGTGAAAATTCATATTTCTAGGAAAGTTCTCTGGAATTTCTTGCTTTTTATCCAGGTGAGCATGGTGGTAGAATCTATAATAAAGGTCTTCATGTGGAATCTTTACTCAATATTGTAGATGCAAGGCGAGATGAAATAGTTGCCACAAGCAATTCTAATTTTGTAGTTAATGTTTTTGCTCCTAAGAGAAACTCTAGATTATGGTTGTGATATCTATACTTTAACAGATTCACTAGTTTCTGTTCTGATCAAAACTATAGTTGCATAAGCTTATTTGCTAGCATCGGAGAAAAAATACAGAGAGCATTTCTCACAGATGTATCCACTTCTCAAATATTTTCTGAGTGAGAAATATTCTTTAGCCTGTTACAAAATTTAACCTTGGGTGTTAAATTTACTTCTTCCCAATTCAGCTTCATGCTGTAAAGTTTCTGCAAAAGCAGTTTAGAGAATAATGATACAAGACAAAATGCTTCTATCAGTTTAAAAAACATATGCGTGTAAAGAATAGAATGTGCCAAATGTGATAATATCCAAAATGTAATTATGGAATAATTTTACAGGGCCAAATGTAAACCGCAATAACCCATAAATGCTTGATAAATGTAATAATGAAAGCTGTGATCTAAAAGAAATATGAAATTAAAGTAACTTACCCCAAAGATGACAAACAGATATAGCCAAATCAATTAATTTTTATTCTTCATCTCCGTTACTGAAATAAGCATTAAAATAAATAAAAATTATCAGCCAGACAGGCGAATGAAATAGAACCTGACTTTTTAGCACAAGTGATGCGCATCACCAGAACAACGTAGCACTTAGAAATAAAATTCTTTCTCCATCAGCGCGAAACAAAGTTTCGTTGAAAAAGCAACAGTCAAATTTCTGTGGCAGTAATTGAATGTACTTGTTTAACGGAGATATTTTTTGAAGAAGACGAATTCTTTACATCAGGAAAAGTTGAGTCACGTGCACACAAAGACCTCTCGAAAGGATATCGAGGTTGAACAAAATTTATCTTTGCAGGTACAGTAGAATTCCAGATATCCGCAAAGCTTGTGCAGATTTTAGGACAGAAAAGATAAAGCATAATGTTCGAACTAAAAGTGCAAAATGAATAAGGCGTATGAGATACATTTAATTAAATTATTATATACATTATAGCAATAATTTATTATATGCATTAAATTACATATATAAATTGATTATATTATTCAATGTATTATATGTACACAGCATCGAGGTCTTTCCGATTTCGCCTTATGCAAAGATTTCCGGTTTCGGTTTCCGGTGTTGGAATCACTGTTGCTGTAAAATTTCGACAGCTTTTTCCATACATCATACACAATCATGTCTCAATTCCATACCATTTTGCTATAACTCGAGGAGTAGCACTTGCTTCCATCTTTTGCAGAATTTGCACTTTTTGCGTTACTGTCAATGCAACGTGTTTACGTTTTTC